GCAGGCGAGGTAGGCAACACTGGGCGTTTACCGACCAAGGTGGGGCAGGTCGGGGCGGGGCGGCGACGCGTCTGTCGTGCTCCATTGAAGGGGAGGGCGGGTCCGCGCCAATCAAGGACACGCCTCTCCCTTCGCGCCTCGCCCTTCGCCCAGGCAAACCGCGCCACCGAGGGCCGGGGACGCCGACGCGAGGGGACGGGGTGTGCCCGCAGCGTCCCCGCGCCTCGCCGCGCCTCGCCAGGCCCGGGGCCCTGTCACCGCGAGAGAGACGAACGGCCGAATCATTTCGCGGCGTAAACTTCAGTGAGCCGTAAAATAAAGCAATAACGCGATGGCCGAGCAGGGACCCGAGGAAAACACGTGTAAAGGGGCGGACGGCCCAAAGGGCCCGAAGGGTTGGAGGGAGAGGGGAGGGACGCGCCCGGGCAAGACGCAAACACCACCAGGCGCTAAGAATAAACCATCAGTATAAACGTCATTTCTCTCCCGCACGTTATTTGTTTCTTAGCCGCTTTCCCGCATTGAACACCGAGTTTAAAATTAGGGATCGTGTAATTGCGTACACGGCCGCGCGAGCCACCGCGCCGGGCCGGGATTCGCAGCGCCGGCACCGCCATTCCGCACTAAAAGGGCGACACTGAGCGTCATTTGATGCAAGTGGCTTTTTTTCGTTACTTTTCGTTCTTTTTCGCGCGCGTCCCCGGCGGTCCCCGGAGCCTCTCACTGTTACGCGCCACCGGACGACAGACGACACACAGCGCACCCCAGGGGTGACGCCGGCCGAGGTGTGGGTATTGAGAGGGGGGAGGGAGTGATCCCCGCTTTGAGGCCACTTGTCCGGCGTGTAGGCAGGGCCGGCAGGGCCGCTTTAACGCGCTTTGATGTCTCGGCCGAACGGACGGCCAGGCAACAGGCAATAAGAGCGTCGCCGAGGCAACGCAACGTCAGTTTGTCGCCGCTCACCGTGAACGCCCGGTGAAAATGAAATACTACGGTGACGGTGTCCCGCCGGCCCGGCCTGCTATGGCAGTCCGCGAGCGGTCTGGTCGGTGCGGCCTGGGCCGACAGTACGGAGTTTTATAGCGGCCCGAAAGACAGAGAGGGAGAGAGCGAGCGACATTATTTAAGGCCGGCCTTCTTTATTACGAATCAAAGGGCTGCGCTGGGGTCGAGGCCCTCCAGGGCATGGCTCGGCCAGGGCCTTGGCCCTTCTAAGACGCGGCCTCGGCTGGCCTCGGCCCCTGGGGCGCCCTGGGGCGCCCTGGGCCAGCGACCCCGCCGGCCATCACCTGCGACACCGCAGACACCTACTGCCCGCAACTCAGCTAATTGGCTTTCTGGCCCTCCCTCCCAGCCTTTCAGACTTCCAGTGACGGAGCGGCGCGGAGCGGCCGAGCGAACACGCCACTAGGAAATTGCGTCCTTCTTCCCTTTACCCAGGGCGCTATGGTGCGCCACGTCTACGGCGTCTTCCGCACCCCGGCGGCCTTCAAGATCCTCCGCGACGCGTTGAGGCGTGCCAGGCGTGCTCGGCGGGGTGGGGAGGAGGTGGCAGGAAAGGGGTGGGGGAGTCCTGGACTGCTCCGGCAGCCGGCCTGCAGGAGCCGCCTGGCCTTGCTGCCTGCGTCAATATTTTGGTCACACACGCCGTGGCCATGGTACGGAGGCCCGCTGCGAACCTTCGCACCCCTCCAGATGCAGTCGCCACGCCCCGCCACGCCACGCCCCGCCACGCCCCGCCACGCCCCGCCACGCCCCACCACGCCCCGCCACGCCACCAAGCTTTTTGGCGAGGTGAGGCCAGACAGCCACCGCGCCCCGCATAAACGTCTTCCAGGCCATAAGAGTTCCAGTCGATTACGCGCCGAGCCCCGCTCCAGGTGATGCATACTATGAGGCGGCAATGCAGCCATTACACGTGTGCCGGCAGTGCCGCCCCGCCGAGTGAAGAGCCATTGCAAAATGGCCACGGGTTCGTGAACCTAGATAACTTTTTATTTCTTTTTCGCTACGTTGGGGTTCATAGGGAGACTGTGACTCGGGCTGTGACGCATGTCCACACTCCACACTGTGTCCTGTTTTTGCGCTTTCAACAAAACGAACCTTCGGAGTACCCCTAGTATGTTTCACATTTATTTTTATATTTTTGTTTCTTTTCTTTTTTTGATGTGTCGTTCAGTACCATGCCCCCACTCCGATTGCCAAACCCCAAAGGGCACGCAGAGAGTTTGAGGATGCGCGCGCAACTCATTTCCGCTGAAGAGCGTTCTCTCTCGCTCTCTCCCTCTTTTCCTATCGCTCCCGCTCACGCAAACCACCCCGCCCCGGCACCCCCTTCTGGGTCCAGCGCCGAGTTTGATAATTGGAAATCAGCGTGTCACGCGCGCCCCGAAAATAGACCAAGGATGTCAGCAGTCCGTGCGAGCACCAGTCCGGGACGGGGGGAGAGCGCGGGGAGGGGGGCGAGCGGCGCGGAACCAGGCCCCTCAGCGGCCTGCCAGCAACTTTTGGCGCCAAACATGAATTTAGACATGCGTTTCAAAAAATACACGATGTTTTCTTTATCACCACAACTAACGGCCTTTGAACTATCTTTTCCAGCCAAACTGCCCGCCGACGTGTCGAAAGTATTGGATTTATCGATATTTTAACAATTTTGTTAGGGCAGCGCTCCCAAAGTAAGTGTGGTTGGTTACCCCTCCCAGGTATTTCCTTGAAAACCGTTTACTCCAGGCGGCTAATGATAACAGAAGCACTGCGTGTTTGTGTAGGAGATCCAGTGTGGCAGCTCGGGTAGACCGAGACGTACTTCGCGGAGCTCGCTTCCACGGCGCCTCCCGCCTAAAGAGCCTGACTGGCTGACTGACTGGCGGCAAAGCTCGCAAATCCAGTCCGCTTGTTGCTTACTATGAGCCGCATGCCGTGCGCCGCGCGCCGAGCCGCCGAGCAGCCAGCGGCAGCCAGCCAGCCTCACGGAGATCTCCGAGGAGCAATTCAACTCCGGCAGCAAAGCTGGGCGAAACACCTCCGCGGCCCGCTAGCGGCGCAAGCCTGGCGTCGCAGTCCTTCGTCCTGCCCCAAGGCAGCGCGAGGCAGTGCACTGCCGCCGTCGCCGTGCCTCCGCCTGCCTACCCTCCGGGCTCCAGCGCCAGCGCGCGCCCCAGCCCCGGCTCCAGCGACACACTCAGCGCGCTCGCGTCCCGCGACAGGTCCACGGTTTTCAATTCAGCTCCACCCCGTGCCGCACGTAACATGAAAAAAGAAATAATGGGCCAGAAAGAGAAGAAAAATAGTGAATGACGGGCGAGGGAAAGAGAGAGAGCGCGGATGGGCATCAAGCCTGCATTCGGCCCGGCGGCCCTTTTGCCGCCCCTCGCGCCATATTCTGGCATTTAATTGACAGTTGCGGATGTTGGACGTGATTCCCTGCTTGTCCGTCACTAGAGAGAGAGAGAAGGGGGGGGGGACATACGCTGGCGAGTAATCCAATCACGGCGAGGGCCGGGATGGGCCCTGGACGGAATGCTGCCCGGCCCGGGGCTGCCGGACGGGCTTGCTAGCGGCAGTTCGACCGGAACTCGCCGACAACGCCATACTGTACCACGGAGGTCAGCTTGCCGCGCGCGCTCCACTCGGGCCGCGCCACGCCCGACGGACCACGCCAGCGTCCTCCCCGGGGAAGTCGCCCCCCAAAGTGCCCCACTGCACTGGAGTCACCAAGTCAGCGGGAGTCGCCGCCAGCGAGGGCAAAGGCGTCCGCGGGGAGCCCCACCCCGCCTCGCCCCGCCCCGCCCCGCGCCCCGCGGACCCCCCGGGGCACGGCCGGCCCAAAATCACAAACGGACGGCCTGGCCAACGCGCAGTGGGTCAGCGTGGCCGGGCCGGCCAGAGAGGAGGCGAGCCTGTTTGGCTTGGCAAGGCGCCCTTTTCATTCTCGCAGTGATTCCCTCCGACAGCCAGCATCTTCCCTTCCGCTACCCTTCCGCTGCCCTTCGCGGCGAGGAGGTGGGCCACACTGTCAGGGGCCGCCAGAGGCACATTCGACAGGGAGGCGGTTCCCTGATCCTCATTTGCACTGGGGGCATCGCATCGGCGGCGACAACAACCACCTCCTGCTCCCCTCCGAGGGGCGCACCGAGTCAATCCTCCGCTCCTCAAAGCACGCCGCGCGCACCGCCGGCATGTACCGCAGCCCCCCTTGCCGTAAGCCTTCCACTCGATTTCGTTTGCATATGCATGGGACACGCGGACTTAGAGGGTCCCCGCCGCCACGCCGGGACGGCCGGGACGCGCTGTGGCGCTGTGCCTCGCCGGGCCTCGCCGGGCCGAACAGTGCTTCGTCGCTTTCTCTCTCTCTCTCTCTCTCTCCCTCGCACCCCTGCGGGCCGGCCCCGCGAGTGCGACAGAGGCAGAGAGACAAAGCACTGTTCGGAATCAGTCCGCAGACAGGGCCGCCGCGGGCTGATCACGTCAAAGGGACTTGCAGGGAAGCCTTCCGCGTCCCCGCGTCGGGTTCCTGCTCCACATTGCAATGCTAACTGCGGCGCCGCGGGGCAGGCTGGCGGCGAGGCCTGCAGGCCTGCTTGGCGTCGCGGGGAGGGGCGTCGCGCCGTCTGATGTGAGCGCGGAGGAAGCAATCACAATAACGTGGAGCTCAAACCGCGGCCGCGGGCGGCGCGCTAACGCCAGTCGCTCTGCATGCTCAGCATGGCGGCGGCGGCAAGGTCGGCGGCAAGGTCGGCGCACCGGGACGCGGCAGGAAAGCGACGGGGAAGATGGAGGTCAACACGTTTCGGTTGCAGAGGAACGCAGCTCGCGTCGGCTTCCAGTGTTTGACTTTCGTTACCCCGCCAACTAAATAAAAGTTTTCTTTTCAAGTTGGCACTAAGTTGCTTTCGTTTTCAGGGAAAAGGGACACGACCTTATTCAGCGCATTTAAAACGTTGTACAGCGACCTGGAACGCGCCGGCCGGGAAGGCCGCGCTTCGCTCTTTACTCACCTGAGTTTACGAAGGAGGCCGACGATCCCGCGACGGTGTCCTCGGGGCCGCTAGGGGGGTCCGCTGGGTCCGCGGCCAGGGCCACGACGGACATGCTGGAGGGGCTCATGGACGCCAGGGCGCCCCCGGGGGCGGCTTGGGCGGCTTGGGCCAGCACCACGCCGTCGGCCAGCGCCGCCAGCAGCACCAGGGCCGCCAGCAGACGGGCCGCGTAGCGCGCGTGGCCGTCAGGCATGGGCGTGCCGGTGCAGGCCCTGCAGGCCGCTAGCCTGGCGTACCGCCTGGCGTGCCGTGCCGGCATGGTGCATCCTCTGCGCTCCGCCACGCTACGCCACGCCCCCGCCGCCGCCGTCGGCCTGCAGCACCATGACGGCGAGGAGTCAATCCTGGTTCCTGGGTCTGTGGCACGGGTCACTACACTGGGTCACACACACGACGGCCGCTTAGCCGCCCATCACACCACTCCGCCGCCACCGCGTCACACACGGGGCGGGCCCGCCGGGCGGGGCGTCTCACTGCACTGTATCCAACGCTTGCACTCGGCACTCGCGACGCGCTGGGCCGCTGTTCGACGGGGAGGTCCACTGGACCAGCCGGTTTGCGCGCGAACTCGCGCCGCGTTGCAGACGACGCCGGTGCTGTGGGTCTCGCGGCGTGTACGAGGGCGTCGCGACGCTTTGGGGCTCAGGGCCGTGCACCAGCAGACTGAGCCGGGCCGGGCCGGGGAGGCCGGAGGCCGGGCCGCGGAGGCCGTGCCGCGCCTTGGGGGTGGGTGCAGCCGTGGGGGCAGCGGTGGCGGTGGGGGAGCGGTGGGGGTGGCTGCCGCCGAACACAGCCGAGTGCGCCCGACGCCGGCTCGGCTCGGACGCGCTCGGCGCCGCCTCAGTAGGGCGGTGGTCGGGGGCAGGGGGAAGTGCGGCAGGGGGCGCCGGGGGATGAAGAAGAAGAACGGAACGGGGCTTCAGCGTCCCCAATTGTACACCGTTGAAATGAGCATTCTGCGAGGGCTGCGCCGCTGCGCCCTGGTGGCCCGCGGCCCGGGGATGGGGACTTGGACGGGAGGGGCGCGGCAGCGCGGGGCGGGAGGGAGAGGGAGGGGAGCGGGCGGCGCGAGAAGTTAAAATATACGGCGGATGTGCATGGGGGCGGAAGGGGGTCGCCAAGCCACACCACGCCCGTCGGCCCATCGGCCACCCAGCGGCCAACCCTCCAGCATCCCCACACCGGCCCTGTTCCTCTGGCAGGCCGTCGAAGCCACTGGCTGCCACTGGCACGGCGCGGGTCACGGGGTCAGGCCGGGGATGGTCATTGCCGCCCGGAAGAGCACCCCGACGATGACGACGCCGTGAGGGTCACATACGTGTCGGGTGGCGAAATAAAAACACGCGTGGTGAGGCTCAGAGCGTGGTGCGGGATGGGGCGAGGCCAGGCGAGGCCAGGCCGGGGCAGAGGCGAGGCACTGCACGCATTCACCCCTGCTTCTCCCCCCGCCGGGCACGCCCAGGGCACGCCGCCCCGGCTTGTGATCTCCTCCAGGACGCCCGCCCGCCACCGGGATCCCCGCCCCTCCCTGATTCCGGCGAGCATCACGATGCCCACGGAGCCCCGCGGTGATGGCGGCCAGACGCACACCGGTACGAACCCCAAGTAAACTACACCACCTGGGACCGGCGCCGAAGGCCGAAGGCCGAAGGGGAGCTGGAGGTGTGCGCTGGGGCTTGGCCGAGGCCGCGGCCGCACCAGGGCATTTGGGATTCCAAGTGAGACGACTCAGAATGTTCCTGGCAACGTGCCTGGCGAAATATCAAAAGGTTGGCGAGGATTCGATGAACGGAGAGCCGGAGGCCTCCGCGTCGACAAACATCCGCGGCGGGGTCGACACAGTGTACTCCACTCCCGGGCCGTGCGGCGGCGGGGCCGGCGGGGCCGACAGGGCACGAGCCGAGCGCCCTGCACCACCGCGACGTGACAGGGCAGGCCGTGGAGGGCGACAAATCGCGGTTAAACGCGCTCCCCGACCGCACCGAGACCGAGACCGCCCCGAGACCCGGGCCTGCCCGGGCCGCGCACTCGGAGCGACCACGCGACCACGGGCATTACTGTCGGCCTACGGGACGCGCTGAAAGGACAGGAGTCTGTCTCGCAATTAGTTTCCCTCCGCGCACTGCCGCATGCCGCTGCCGCTCCCTGCGCGTCGACAACGTTGACAAAACCGCGCTGCCCCGTAGACGCGCATGGCTAGGCTTCGCGCGGGGCGAGGCTGGCGGGAGCCGGGGGGTGGGTGTGCGGATAAAGGGCTTATCAAGGAGGACGAAAGGAGGGGCTCATTTGGGGCTTTTGATGTGTGGTTCCACTCGCCACGCCCGTCCGGCCAGCCAGGCAGCCCAGGTGGGCCGCCTGGGAGGGTCAACGGAACGGCAGCCCACCGCCACACCCGCAACAAGCGGAGGGGAGGCTGGGCGGCCAGACGGGTTGGTGGACGGTAGGCACACTGGAGGTACCAAGAGAGATGGCGCCCCCTGGGAAATGCCGGGTCAAGGCGCGGCCATGGCGGCGCCGGGCGTGGTTGGGATGGGAGCGCGGCGGCCGCCGACGCCATCGAGGCCACGATACACGTGTCGAGGAGGCCCGTCCCTTCAAGCGAACACGGCGGATTGAACCGGCGGCCTCACGCAACGCCCGCTAAAAAAAATGGGGTGGGGGTATTTTTTCAGCTGTTTTTATTCGTTTCGTCCTGCTGCTCCTCTGGTGTCCCGGCACGGCGGCAAGCCCCGCCAGGCCACGCCAAGCAGGACCAAGCAGGGCCAGGCGGGGCCACAGAGCGCGCCGAACCACAACGCGCTGCCGCAGAACTTGCGCAGAAAATCCCTTGTCGTTGCATAGCGACAGCGTGGGGCTTATTGCACTCGGGGCATCCCCGACCCCACCCCTCCCTCTCCGCTTGAACACTTCTTTAAGTTTCCTTGTTACCCAAGTCCCGCCCCCAGCGTGGCCCAGCGTGGCCCAGCGTGGCCCAGCGTGGCCCAGCGTGGCCCAGCCTGGCCCAGCGTGGCCCAGCCCCACGCTGCCCCCCAAGTCCGTTGTCGCGACCGCCCCGCTTCCCCTTACCTGGAGCCCGGAGCCTGGAGCGAGAGGTGGGTGAGTGTTGGCATCAGCGGCGCATTAAAGAAGAAATATCGTCCGCCGCTTGACGCTGCAGAGCGTGGGGCCGGGCCGAGGGCCGGGAGAAGTGAGGTGAGGGGGGTCTTCGCCTCTCTGCTCCGGCCAGCCTCGGCCCTCGGTCGCGATGGTGCCAGCACTGCTAAAGGCGCCACGACAGGGGGACAAGGCGAACCTGCAACCGAGTAACAGATTTTAGAGAACTGTTTAGCCCTCACTGTAACCTATGACACGCAAGAGAAAAAAAAGGCAAAATTTTTGTGTTTGTCAATTAACATAACAGTTTAAATATTTTTTTGTTACCGTGACCAGTTACTGCTATAAATTTGGGACTGCGTTCAGACTTGACTCGAAATTTCTTAGACCCTAAAATGGCCTAGGCACACAACCGAATCAAACAGGCAGCGTTCGATTGAAGAAGCTAACAAAAACGCACGAGAAAAGCCGTGGGGGGAAGTTGATTTCGCGCGGTGTCCTTGGAGGCAGAAGGTGCAGAAGGGCCACGAGGGCCAGGGAGAGGACCCGAAAAAGACAAAAGGGGAAAGAGGAGTGCTTGCGGCACGGTTTACCGATGCCGCCGTGGTGCTGCCTGCTTGTTAAACCCTTCCCGCTGGGGCGCCCCCTTGCCCTCCCCCTGCCCCTCCGCCAACCCCCAGGATGCACAAGCTGCTTGGCATTCACGGCAGGTGGCGCACGGTGCGGCACGCATCGAGGTGCCGACTAGTCCGCCGCCGCCCCCTCCCCCCGCCCCCCAAAACGCAGGTGACGCAATCAGGGAAGGGCATAACTGGCGCGTGCTCGAATTGCGCTCGAATTGTGCGCGCCGACTAAGTGGCGCTGCGGCGCGGCTGTCGTCGCGGTGCGCGTCACGTCGCCGACAAGGTGGCCGTCGACGAGGCCCGACGCGGCCTCCGCGCGCAGCCGGCGCCGCCTCGTGGCCCCCAAGGTCGCGAGTTCGAGCCCCACTCTCGGGATTATTCTGCCGTCCCGCGGGCCTCCTGTCACCTGCCGTCGCCTGTCATCACGCCGTCGGCCCTCGGCTCCTTGATGGTGGGCCACGGCCACATCTCCGCCGTGACGCTCCGTCGTGCATCCGCGTGCGCTGGGCTGCCTACCCGCCGCTCGTCGGGCGTTTGAGGCACCAGAGAAGTCGAAGTTGGCCCGCGACTCGGGCAGCGGCTCGTTGGCAATGAGCTGTGAAAGGAAAAAATAATGTACGAAAAGAAACGAAAATGTGTGATGATGCAAAAGAGCGTATGCGCAGACCAGTCTCGCTGAGCGCCGGTGCCCCGTGAACAAAATTTGAAGGTAACACGGTAAGCTGTGCATTCGTTCACTCGGATTAGCTGATCTACAGTTCGAGCCGGTTTAGGATCTTAGAGAAAGTGAGGTCAGGGGTTGGCCAGGCTTTATTATTGGGCCGGTCTTCGGTTCGATGGTTTCGGGTCGCAAAAGAAAAGAAAGTGAGGTTAGGGTTCGCGCGGCTTCGCGTCAGGCTTCGTCATTTAAACTTGCCAGACGGAATTTTCTGAGCAAAGCGGGATGATTAACTCTGTACAATGTAGCTGGAAAATCACATTCAAATACTCTACCGTCCAGTGTAGCTAATTAATCGTTTTCCCAGACATTGTTAGTGTAAGAGTAGCTAAAGAAGCGCGCCTACACGCGAAGCACAACTCAAATTACTTACCTCTTTGAGAAAGAGTTCACAGCACATGCCACGGCAGACACATACACGATAATTTAAAACAGCATAGGAGCGACGGGTGTCCTCGGATGACGGGTGAAAGTAAAAGTAAACAACGGAACACATTTCGCTTGCGTCCGTTAGTCTTCGCGGGCGGTCTTCGCGTCTTCTTCGCCCGGCCATCTTGTTGTTTGTTGTTTTGCTTTGCTTGCTCCTGCTTGCTCCGCTCGGCTTCGTCAATATGAAAAACTTTGAGGTACGCTCAAGGGTAGTATGAGAAATTTCCCAAACCAATATCGTTGCTCGTAGGCAATGCTATTTTCTCTCCGCGCTTCGCCACTGGTTCTCTCCCTCTCCCTCCACTACATATCCATCCATCTACCCATCCACGCGGTGAATTTGAAAATCGGAAACTTAAGTCGGGTGGAGATTTCTTACCGCGGGGCGTGCCGACGCCCGGCGTGGACGACCCACTCGGAGTGAGGCATGGCCTAGGACTACTTAAGGGACCCGCTAAGGACTGGCGGCTTGGCGTGTTACCCTGCCTGCATCCCCTCGGCCGTGCCTTGGCCGTGCCTTGGCCGCGCCCCTCCCGGCCGTGGCCCTGCCGCTACCTGGCGCTTCCGCCAGACACGTCTAACTGTTTCCTGAAGTAGGCAACCCACGGCACACGGCGCGGCACGGCACGGCACGGCGCCGCCGCACGTCACAGCAACAATGTAGTGCGAGGGCGGCAGGGACAGGTAAGGCGGGGGAGGGGCAATAAATAACGGGCGCCGTCGTCCGGGCCACCCTTCCCCCCCTCCAAGCCCGTGGCGATGCGCACGCACAAGTCACGGCGCGACGAAAAAGCGGCGAAACAAAATACGGCGCGGGATTCCTGGGGGCCGTGACGGCCGCGACAAAGACGGCGCGGGGTGGCTGCGGAATGATAAATGCTCGGAGATCTCATAAGTAGGCAAAAATTCCGCCCGACGCGCCAGTGTTGGAAGGGTTGCTAACCTCAGCCTGTGTTCCAGGCAGCTTCCCGAGAGCGAAGCCCAAGCCGAGTAGGCAGGCTGAGGATGGCAACGCTTGGGAATTTCCACCTATATTTAAGTGGCAACACTGATGAATGCTCGGATATCATGTGGAGGGAGGCGAGGCAGGCCGGCCGCGGCGAGACCCCGCGTTGCTACCGAGCGCGCGGGGTATCGCCACCGCAGGCCGCATCCGCACAGGGCGTCGCCTCGGGCGTCGCGGTGGCCGCGTCGCCGCTCGACTGCGCGGCGCCCGCGGTACGTTGCCCCCACCTCAGCGAAGCACCTAGAGAGCCAGGCTCTCTAGAAGAACCCTGCCAGGGCCAACGGCTCGCGCGTCGTCTGTACAGTGTGGAGTCCCAGAGTGGTTGCACGATGAGTCACGCATCTATAGCTCGAGGAAAACCCGCGGCATGTACAGTCTAGTGCAAACTAGCAAACAAAGGTCGTCGTCCGCAGGGGGTTTCAACACGGCGTCTTCTCTTTTGGACTATCCTATTATTCCAGAGTCTCAGATTAGTAATTCGGGTCCCTTGGTCTGGCCTGCGCGGGGCGTTCCGGGGCGTTCCCAGCCACCCTGGAGGTGCGGCCCAAAGCCCACCAGCCCCACGCACCATCGCCATCACGGCTCTCGGGTGGCCATTGATTTCCTATCAGCAGCACGTCCCCGCCATGCGTTACTGGCGCCCCGGGGGTCCGGCCGCGTTGCTCCAGCGTTGCTCGCGACGAGGATCGGAGGAGCAGACCACCAAGGCCGCCAAGGCCGCCACGGCCGTGAAGACGAACAGCGCGGCCGTGCGCCGCCAGTGGAGCCCGTTGCCGCCAGAGGCCGGCCGGATCCAGAGGCCGTAGTCCTCAAGCACTTCCGCAAAGCCTTGTGTGCCAACGCGTCACGGGCGCTTTCGAAGCGTTTCAAAGCATTCCGCGCTGTGATCTGCATTTTCCTCCGCTTTATCCCCGCTCCCCTTTCTTACGTTCGCCTTTGCCCCGGACGAGTTCGGGCTCTACAGGGCCCAGGCCCAGGGCCAGGGCAGTCAGACGCCCCAGGCAAAGCGGAGTGGGTCACGAAGAGGAAAAGCCGTGCGATGATGTAAGTGGTACATTCTGCTGCTGGCCACTTAAGTCCCCACCGTGGCGGTGGCCGTGGCGGTGCCCCTCGCGGTGCCTTGCTTGGCCTGCGCCGGGAAGGCCCCGCCCCACCCCCGCCGCCGGCCGCACCGGGCCCAACATAAATTACATCGTCAACGTCTCCTCTCTGTTTCCCTCTCACTCCCCCTCGCCCCGTCCCGCTCTCGCTGTCCCTCTCTCTGTGTCTCTCTGACCCCGTGACGCGCGGCCCGGCACTGACCGGCAGCCCGTCCGCGACACGCTTCCGAGAAGCCATTCATTGCGTTGGCCGCGTTCGCCGCACCTCCTGTGGAAGGTTGCTGTGTCGCCCGGGCCTAACGGCTTTCGCTCGCCCGAAGCGTTTTACAGCGACGGCAAGCCGAGCGGCAAGCCCGGTGCAATCGTTGGGACCGCTTTTTATTTCCCTCTCCTCGGAATTCATTTTGTGTGCGAGAGTGAGTGTGCGAGTGTGAGTGTATGAGTGTGTGTTGTGTGTGTGTGTGTGTGTGTGTGTATGTTTGTGTGTGGCTGTTTGTGTGTGTGTGCGCGCGCTCGCGCGTTGGCGATTTCTGCGGACACATTATCCCCGATGTAGGTTAATGCACACAGGGTTATCGCGGCCCGGCTCGCCGCGACTCGCCGGTTCCCAGAATGGAATGCGTTCGTTTACTCGCGCCCGTGTTTACAGGAATAATTAATTTCTGGCATGAGGAGGTGGCCGACGGTGCCCACGCCTGATTTTCTTTCCGTTCGTAATTCGCTTGCGAAAAAGAGGAAATGGGAAAAGGGAGGAAATTGAAGCAAACTTTGTTGCGACGCACATGCGGACGCGCCGCGCGCCGTCCTGTCTGTGCGTACCACCATGGTACTACCCCGTTACCACCCGTTTTGCCGCGCCAGGCTGCTGCAGGCTACAGAGCTCCCGCCGGCGGTCGTCTCGAAACTTTTTCAATTTCATGTTTGATTGTGAAATTATAGTGTCGTTCGCACAGCAAGTCCACGGGCGTGGCTTTGATTTGCGGCTCGTTAGGGTTGTCGCTGGAAGGCAGGGGGGTTCAGTTCAAACTGGTCTAATTAAGGACACACCGCCAGCAGCAGGGCCGCCCTAGGGCCGCCACATGGCGAACCAAGTGACCGTGGAGCCCAGCAGGTGCATGCGCGCTATGCGGCGCTATGCATACCCGTTACAAACGTTTTTCACCCCCAAGTTCGCAAACGAATTTTGCTCTGGGCGCACAGGAGGTCACAGGAGGTCACCCGGCGCTGCAGCCCCCGTCGTCGCCGTCCTTGACGAGGTCCCTGACGAGGTCCTTGACGGGGTCCTTGATTAGGGCACTCGACCCTGACACGCTGCACTCGGCCCCTCACTCCGTCTGCCCAGTGTGCCGCGTGACGCGCTTGCGTGCGTCCTTGTGGGGGACAGCCTGGCGGCCCTGGCGGCCCTGGCGGCCCTGGCGGCCCTGGCCCACTCACTCCGCTTTACGAGGGCGGCGCACGCACACAGGCACACCGGCACACCGACACGCAGAAGCAGCGACAGTGGGACGCATTGGTTGTGGTAGGCCGTCGCGCTGTAGACTGCCTCCACCAGTAAGGACAGGGTTCACGTCTTGGTCCACGTCACCGTCACGTCTCAAGGCCCACACCATGCCGGAAAACTGAATGAAACGGATGCATTGTCAGTGGAAAATTCGATGAACGTAAACAGTTTTCCTGATTCGCCAGAGGCGAGTCCCCTGTCCCCGCCGCCTGCTGATTTCCATGCATCATCTCGCGCCCTTTTGACCGCGGCCGGAAGCACGGGGCGTGGCGCGGCGGGGTGGGGCGGGGCGCCGGGCGCGCGTGCTTGCGCAACTTCTCCGCCTGAAAAGGGGATGCTGCCTTGGTGCTGGTGGGTGCCGCTCCGCCGCTGGAAAGTTTGGGCCCGTTTCGTTTCGTCGTGTTCCGCTCTTTTCGCCCTAACTCGGCCCACTCGCACGCCCACGCACTTCCACGCGGCCAACGGTTGCGGCTCCCAGTCCCGCCCGGTCCGTGTCCGTCACCGACCGCGACCAATCTCAGCATCAAGGAGCGCGCGCGGGTTCGAATACTCGCCGAAAGTGCATTATTTTCCAACTCGGCCTCATTATCGCACTGGGACTGCGTGGCCGTGACCGTCGTGACGCACCCTCCGCCAATTCCGCGAACCTGGCGGCGCGCGGCACGCCGGCCAACGCCCAGCGCTCCGAGAAAACGCCCACGGTGTTGCCCCAGGCCGCAGTGCGCGACAGCAGCGAGGGCAGGGAGGCCCCACGGTGGCAGCGGCAGCCGTGGTGGCGGTGGCGGCGGGGCGGCGGCGATGTCGGTGGCGGTGTTGGTGGTGGCGGTGGTGGCAGGGCCGCAGCGGGGCGGCGTCCCGGTGGACGGCCTGAATGCGCCGCGACGCGTTTATGGGTTCCGTGAAGCTGCCCCGGCGTGCCCCGGTGGCCCGCTCGCCCGCGAGGGCAAGTACGTCACGGTGATGTCGTATCAGTTAATTTGGGCGCCATTTTCGCGACCGGCCGCCGGCCCCCGCCCTCCCCCAGGGTCCCCCAGGTCCGCCACCAGCAGCACGACGGCCACCGGGCGGCCGGTGTGGCAGTCAGTCTGAAAGAGTACGTCTCGCGGTCAGTGCGAGCGCCGCGGTAAAGTGTTGTCACCCAGACGCCTCCGTGCGGGACGTACCCTAGCGCAGCGAGTAGAAGTGAGAGCCACCGCGTCAGCCCCGAGCTGTTCACGAATCTCAGCACCCAGCGCCTGAGCTGTTTGGATATTTGCGGGAAATAGAATAGAGGTATGATTCAGAGGTTTTCCTGGCTCAGCCCAAAAAGGAGGCTTTCATTCGGTGCAGCGAACTTTGCATAACACGTACGTCGTCCTGCCTGCAGACGTCATGCCGCTCCACGCACGCTCCGTCCTGGTCACCGTCGTCCTGGCGGCGGTCACTCAGAGCGTCCTCACAGCACCGCCCGACCGATTCCAGCAGCACCGGGCCTCCGAGGTGGCCGTCGAAGAGCGCCCCTCGGCCCTCCGCGGCCACGACGCGCCCCCGGAGCACTTGTCGTCGACGCTGTTCCCGCGCCGAGTGCATCGCCCACGGCGCCCTCGTCGGGGCAGTGCCGAGGGCAGTGCCGAACCCCTCGACGGCGACGTCGACGCCCTGAGGCGGCGACTGTTCGCACACCGCCGACACCACCGCGACGACGAGGACCTCGACTTCGGCGGGCTGCGGGTCGATGACTTCCGGCGGGAGGCGCGCGGCGGTGCACCGGTGTCCATGGCGGAGGCCGAGCCGGAGGCCCTCCTGGACTACGAGGACGTCGACGACGGCGGCGATGGCGACGCGGTCGGCGTCATCGTTAGCGCACCCAGGGCTCGCTGCCCGCCGGGGGAGCGCTACTACGAGCGACAGTGCCGCAAAGTGTGGCGGTGAGGAACCTCATGTTTGTTTTGTGCACTCGCGCAGAGTGAGGAGACTTACTAGTCATATTTATTGGAAGGAAAGACTCAGAATGTGCGGGAGTGTCTGTGTGCGCCTGCCTATGCGCATTGAGATTGGCCTTACTTTCAAAGTGAATGATTAAGAATTTGCTGATGTGATCTGAATATGTGATTTTCATTGCGTGTCTACTTACGTTACTTAACTGTACCCATTTAGCTTAATTTTTTGTCAAAGTTGCTGACGGACGATCGTATTCCTAAAACAAGGGACTGATAGTCGGTAATCCAAGATAGTGAATGTGTGGTGCGAAGACAGGTTAATTATTTATCTATGTATAATTCTCTACTTTGTAATAATTTATTGCTCTTCCTTTGATGGAATAAATTTTTTATTTAAAAAACGAAACCATGGAATTCAATTATGAGTATTTCTCGGGGTGCATCTCAAGTTAAGTAGTTGGGCAGTCGATCGCCAGACTCTGTCGATAAAACCACACGCCTCTGACCTCTCGGCCGTCAGCACTGCTGTTCGAGATCGCTCCAAAACAAGCGTGACACGTTCCCGGCCGCACCTTTGCCTCGCCGCGGCCTGCTGGGCTGGCGCTGTTGGTGCCGCTCGAGCGCGATGGATCCGCCGCCAACGACGCGCTGCTCGAAACGCGAAATGTTTTCCGCTTCCCCGGGGATCGTGGCGCGGCGCGGGCTTATTGCTTTGATTAATTAACCACCAGAGCGTAATCCACGGCCATCGCTCTCCCTCCCCCCTCCGCATCCCCCTTCCCCACCACTTCCCACCCGCCGACCGCCGCGGCGCGCCAGAAGTGACTGACTTGTAGCCGTTCGGCCCACTTTCTTCGCCGGTTTATCCGGGGTTTATCGCTGGTCGCAAAAATTATTTCTGCACCAGTAAGGTTGGGGGAAAAAATGAGTAAAATGAAAAGCCCATGAAGAGGCGCGGAGCGGCGCAGAGCCGCCCGGCGCCCGGCTAACCCGATGGCCGCTTAGTGTTGCATGTTCACGAGCCACTTTACAGTTTGCCCCCGCGGGAACGCTTTGCCTCGCCCCAGTCAAGTATGGAGACGATCCGACGACACGCTCATCTTGTTGCTGACTTTTTCTTTGTCGCAGTTCTCGTTGTTGTTGTTCTTGTTCTTGTAGTTGTTGTTGTTGGCGCAGGCGCGCGTGGACTGCCTGCCGCCTGCCGACTGAGACCGCCGCGCGTGGGGGCTGATTGGGTTGCCTACCCAGCGATTCGCAGGCGCCCTGGCAGTGTCTCCGCCTGTCTGCCTGTCTATCTGACTGCCTGCCTGCCCGTCTGTCTCTCTCGGAGGGCACACACCGTAAAGGGCTGTCGTGCTCTGGGGACGACGGTCGGCTGCGTGACCTTGGGCCGCAGCCGCCTCGGCACGGCGGAACCAGCCTAATACGGTTTGCGTGCACACACACACACACTCTCACACACATACACACACGCGGAATGAGATGAAAACCGAGCGTTCTAGCCGCGCGCATTAACGATGCGGTCCGCCACGGGGAGAGGGAGAGCGAGGGAGAGAGCGAGAGATAGTCGTGGAGGTTCCTTCGGCTGACCGTGAAATCCGACGTGACGCGGGGCGAGCGGAGCGTGGAGGCGGCCAAGGCGGGTGGCCGGTACAAGCCGCGCCGCTTACTAGGGAGGAGGGGGAGGGGGCGGTTGTACGCCGCGGGCAGTGCCGAGGCAGTGCCGAGGCAGTGCCTCAGTGCCGCTCGGCTCAACTCATTAGACCACCCTGACCTGGCGGGGCCTGGCGGGGCCTGGCGGGGCTTGGCCGCACTAACTCATAGCTTTGCTCTGCTTTGCGCTGCTTGCCGGCCAGTCCGCCAGCCGGCCAGTCCTTGCTAAGTGAAATAACGAGCTGTACTACCAGCGAGCAGCGCGTGGCTGAGCAGCGACCCCTCTCCCCGACAATTTCTTATGTCCCAACACAGTAACCTACTCAATTTTTTTTGTGTGGAACCTTGACTCTACATAACATACGATACGCGTGAAATGTTCGAGTTCATGCACTTTTTCGTCATTTTGAAACCTAGGCTCAATTATGTCAAAACAACAACATAGGAAATTTGGGGGAGAGGGGAGGGGTCCTCCTTGCAGTGTCGTTCCGGCGACCAAAGTTTGTCCAAGAGAATCTCATCCCCCGAGCTCGAACAGCCAAACCTATCCGAAGCGAGCCGAATATTGGGACAAGAGGACGGGGTGGGGAGTGGGGAAGAAAACGAAAGGCAGTCCGAAGCAGGCGTGGTGGCCAGCATCGCCAGGGTCGTGCGCATCGCTGCCAGATGTAGGCTCTTCAGGGCCGCTCCCCCGCACCCCTCCCGCCTACAACAAGCACATCAGCTGCGCGGCGCGGGGCGGCGGCCGGGGAAAGGAAAGACTTTTAGGATCGCCGCTGTGGCCCCGCTGCCGGCCCCGCTGCGGACTGGGGCGGTCTTGACACGGATGCTGATTATGGGAGCCGCTCTATTTCTTCTGCTGGCAATGCGGGGGACCAGCACCACCAGGGCCAGCGGGGCCAGCGGGCTCGTTGAGCCAGGCTTCGCGGCGCTTCGCGGGGAACGCGCAGCGGTTCAGAAGGCTAGTTGAGGCGGACACGACGCCGGGTGCGTTAACATCTATAACGTCCCCAACTGTGACTAGAATTAAACACACGAGTGGTGGTTTTGAGATGCGGCTGGGCGTGCTGGATCACCTGACCAATCTCAGGATCGCAGCTGTGTGACGTGCGACCAAGAAAAACCATAATCACGCGGGGTAAGAACGGGGCTGCTGGTACTCGAACCCGGGACGCCGCCTCCGCGCGCCAAGTTCTCAATGGGTCGCCCCCGCCGTGCCGCCGCAGCAGCCGTCCGATATGAGTCACTCACTCTCCATGGCGCCATCGGCCGCTCACCCCGCCGTAGGCCCCGCCACGGGCCTCGCCATGGGCGCCATAGGCCGCATGATTGGCGGGCCGGAACGGCGTCCGCGACGCTACGCGACGCGAGCCGATGGCAGCCTCATATCGGTCGGTAATCGCGGCGGCAATGTCGTTATCGTTTACGACTGTCCGTCGCCGCTCCCTTCCCCTTCCCACCCCTCGACGCCCCTCGGCACCCCTCGCACCAAAACACCCGTCGGGGAGAGGGGCCTTGCGAGGCAGGCCGGGACAGGCCGGGGGACAGGATTCCTACCGGCGGCACTTTAGCGCGCTCCGCTGACGCTTCAGTATTTTTGGCACATTTGTCGCCGCGACTCCTCTGGATGGCTCCGCCGCGTGTGGCGCGGCAGTCCGCGCAGTGTTGAGTTTCACATTTTTCTTTCCCTTTTCAAATTTTAAATTTCTGGGATTAAAAGAAAAGTAATTGCGTCTAAAATATTTCTACTACCCAGCTAGCTGCCGCGGACGGCCACCGGGGCATGCAGGCTGATTCCGAACCCTAGTGGTTTCTTTCTTCTGTCTCTCTCGCACACTGATGGGGCGTCGCGCTGGTGTGCACTGAGAAAACCTTACAAACTATTTCAGACCTTACAAAGCAAAGCAGTTCGTTAGAACAAAGTATTCTGAGCTACATAAGCTTACAAAGAAAATTCGTAATTTACGAACTACTTCTTCGTACTATAACAAAGTAAATTAGTTTGTACGTATGTATGCTCCAAATACTTCGTAAGGTTTTAAGGGTGTGCGTTTGATAGAGGCAGAGCGAGAAAACGCTGTCCGGGACGATCCCTTTTCGTTCGTTCGTTCGAACTCGTTCGTTTGAACTCGTTCGTTCCCACTGGCATAGCCCAGCGGTGGACGTCAAGATCACCGTAGGGCCGAACGTGGCACGCGGGGGAGGGGGAATGGGAAGGAGAAGGGGGAAGAAAAGGGGAGGGGGAATGGGGAGGGGAGGCAGGACAGCTGCCTCTGAAGCGCCAGTCCCGCTGTGGTGGCGCACTCCTTTCGAGGGTAATGCCTGGCGTAACGTCTTCCGACCACACACACTCATACACTCACTCACACACACACACACACACACACACGCAGTGCCGGCCTTGGGCGGTGCCCTTCACACGCGGTGGCCTTGACCGCGCCCATCGCCGCCAGCCGCGCGCGAATTCAGGCATTCAAGTATGAAGCCGGTCCCTGCGATGCCGCCGCGCAGGATTGCATCTGTAAGCAGCAGCCGGGAGGGGTAGCGCCTTCCACCCGCCTGTCCGTCTGTCTGTCTGTCTGTCTGTCTGTCTGTCTGTCTGTCTGTCTGTCTGTCTTTGAGTCTGTCTGTCGTTCCAGCCCCGCCATTACTGCGCTGCCGTTTATTTTGCGCCCGTTCTCAGCACATTACGCAGCCCGGCCTATCTCCCTGCTATCGCCAAACTTGGCTGTGGCCGTTTTCCGCCCCTCAGTGCAGTGACCAGATTTCGGCGCGGCTGCGTCCCCCCCCCCTTCCCCCTTCCTTTCATTGCCGTAGTTAGATGAGCCTCCATGTTGCGTGCCTCATTGGGCACGCTCCGAGGCCGTAAGTCGAGCGGACAATGGGCAATCGCGAGAATCCCGAGGCGACGCGGCGACGCGAGGTGGCCGAAGAAGGGAAACTTTCGTTATGCATGCCTTTCGGATCTGGCCATCGGGGCGTCGGGCTGGTGCAGTGGGTCAAGAGGACTCCGCGGTCGCGCGGCGCGGGTCGATATCTGGCTGAGAAACCCGAACCTGAATCCGAAGCTTTCCAAAAGGCAGCAGTGTGTTATGCTTTCCTTCTCCCTCGCCCGGGGCAAAAACACGCCGGCTGCAGGTATTAGCGCTGCGCTGCCCTCACGGCCGCTAATGGCGAGGCTGTGGGGGATTTGCGCTTGCGCCCCGCCAGGCAGGCAGCCAGGCAGGCAGGCAGGCAGCCAGGCAGGCAGCCAGGCAGGCAGCCAGGCAGGCAGCCAGGCAGGCAGCCAGGCAGGCAGCCAGGCAGGCAGCCAGGCAGGCAGCCACGCAGCCAGGCAGGCAGCCAGGCAGGCAGCCAGGCAGGCAGCCAGGCAGGCAGCCAGGCCCGGCGCTGTGTTCCCCGTTCGCCCTGCCGGCTGTGGAGTGTTTCTTCAACACACGTGTGGTTCGTAGTTCACTGCGCTGCTGGCGGTAATGGGGGGTGCAGCTCGATCGCCGTGCCGTGCCGCGCCGCGCCCGGTGCCCAATGGACCGCGACCGCCCCACCCTTATCACCTCACCGTCGATTACCGTGCCGACAGTTTTCAACTCGCAAGTTGTTCTTTTTTCCCCTCTTCCGCGCCGTGCCGGCGTGCCGCTTAGCCGGCCTGTGCCCAGCCCGAGACTCCTCTGGAGACTCCCAGGGCCGCGCTCAAAGCAGTGACCCACAGCGGGGCGCAGAGCTGCGCAGAGCCCGGAGGGGCCCGGAGCCAGCCGCACACGTTCCCGAAGCACGTAGAATTTTTAGCGATGGCCGGACTCAACGAGTTGCTAATCCCACGACCGTTGCTGCCACCCGGCCCCGGAGGAGGGGAGGGGAGGGGCGCTGCGGGAGGCGGGGGTGGGGGGTGTAAGCAGAACTCGGCTTAGGTGCATGAAATCCCCTGGGGTGATAGGTGCCGAGAAGTTGGAAAGGAGCATCGCGTGGACCGAGGAAAGGGGAGAGGGAGGGGCGGGGGGCTCCTGGAAAGGGACCCAACACGCGACTGGAATGCAATTAGCGGCAGCGAGGACCCATTCGGATATCCAGCGGGGCGACGTGTGGGGGGAGGGGGTGCACGCAAGACGGCTTCATTACGAGCGTGCAGGCCGTGTGTGTGTGTGTGTGTGTGTGTGTGTGTGTGTGTGTGTGTGTGTCGGCCGGTCGGCGCGGACAACGTGTCTGTTAATCTGCCGGCTTATCTGTGGGGACCTTGAATGCTCCTCAGGAGGCCGCCGCTACGCCGCTAGTGTCAGCAGGGCCGGGCTGGGCAGGGAGGCGACGCGGCGACGACCACAGCAGCACGCAGTGGCGATGGACATGGCGAACAGGCAGAAGCAACTGATCGGTGAGGCCGCGTCGTGGCGCCGTGTGGGTCTTCTTGTGGGCGGACCGCAGCTTGAGCTGACTGAACAACGCCTCTTGCTCGCTTCCAGTGTGGGGCGCGGGGCTGGCGATTGCGGCCCTCTGTGCAGCCGGAGTGTGCATCGGAGTTTTCTACCAGGCGGCGCCAAGCGAGACCGCAACGTACGTTTTTCTCGTGTAGATCCGCAAGTGTGGACTTTTAAAAATTTCTAAAAAGTCATTTCAACCGGTGTCGGAATGGTGGGACTTTCGCGCGGTTTCCGTGGCAACCGAAGCCAGCTGGTCCCTACCCCGTCCTCGGGACGGCCCAGACCCCACTTCCGGATATTAACTGATTGATTAAAGGTGTAGTTACTTACTTTCCCCTGGAGCGAGCCGCGCCCGGCCGCGCCACGCACTCTCGCGTCTTGATTTAATTTGGCAGCCCTGAAAGGCAAGACGGACGTCCCTTGTCCCCACTCGGCACTCGCCCGATGGAGGCACTATTGTCCTCAATCTCTTCCGTATCGGGTCTCCGGGCTCCGGCACCGCGCGGCGCGGCGCGCAGCGGCGGCACTCCGAGCACTCCGGCCTGCCTGCCTGCCGGGGATTTAATTTAACTTGATGCCAATCAGAGGCGAGTGCGGAAAATTAATTTCTGGCGCGCGGGGCGGCGTTTCTGGCGCACGGGGATTTTTCACACTCGCCCGGTGACGTTGCCCCTTCCCCTCCCCACTTTTTTGCCACCCTCGACGGATTCTGTTTCATTATTCGTGACTTTGTTCACAGGTGAACGGGTTTCACGACTTGCACGAACGATGAGGCGGGGAATGGATTTTTATTAATCAATACTTAAGTTTACAAATACATTTTTTTTACAAGTATATACAAGTAAGGCTTTTCTCGCGGTGTTCAAACTCCTCGTCCTTCGCGTGGTCCGGCTCTAGTTGGAGCTGTTGGCGTACATGAACACGGCCAGGATGAGGCCGTACAGCCCCAGCACCTCGGCGAAGATGAGGATGAGGACCATGCTGATGAAGAGCTTGTCCTCCAGCGCCGAGTTCCGCACGCCGTGGTCGCCAACGACGCCGATGGCGTAGCCCGCGGCCAGGCCCGACCCGCCGCAGGCCAGGCCAGCGCCAAGGTGCACTATTGCTCTGGAAAAGCACAAGGATCAAAATGAACCTCAAGGAACCTGTTTTTACAATGTCTGTTCTCTCGGAAACGGCGACATTTTCTTTTCAGCAATCCGCTGACTTACCTGAACATGGTGTACTCTGGCGGGGTGCCCAGCTTGGTGATGATGAGGATGGCCACCACCAGGCCGTAGATGGCCACGATACCCGCCATGACCACGGGGATGATGCTCTTCATGACCACCTCGGGCTTCATGACGCCCACGGCGGAGATGGACGCGCCGGACCTGGCCGTGCCGTAGCACGCCCCGAGCGCTGCCGACGACAACAACAACATCAACACCAATCACCGAGAAAACGAGGGATGTCTCGCATTGCATGGCAGTCCTGACGGCGCGGCCGCGTGACTTCCCGCGGCTCTCCGTCGCACTCACAGCTCAGCACGATGGAGGCGGCGACGCCCATGACGCCGATGAAGGGCGTGTAGATGGGCTCGCCCTGGAGCAGGGCGTCCGTGGGGTCTGTCGAAGACATGTCGGCGTCGGAATTCCGCTCGGGGTTCAAAAAGTGGAAGGAAACGGCGCGTGCGGCTCGGCCTGCTTGTCCTGCTGGTCCTGCCTCGCGCGACTGATGGCGGCGTTCATGTGACGGCCGGTGACGCCGCGCCACGCCGCGCCACGCCACACCGCGATTCACACATAGATAGAGTCGGTCATCGATAACGGGCCAAGGAAGAAAAGGAGCAGGCACACTGATAGCAGCGCAAAGCCGGGCGCGGCTGCGCGCCGTCATGTCGACCACCGCGCCGCCGCGATGGCTGCAAACCTCGCGGCGACTCTTCACGTGTCTCCGAGGGAAACAGAGGCTTTGTGGGAGGTCCGTGGTACTTTTTACGTTACCCCATTGTAAATTTTCCGCGCCAAACTGGCGGATCTTTTCGCAGTGCAGCACACGGGGTCGCCGCCCTGAACGTAAAGCAGAAAAAAGGGGAACGTGGACGCGGCACCGCGACAAGCAGGCCGAGCCTCGGCCGAGCCGGGGACATGGAGGGACACGGCGTGCAGCCTCCTCGGCTATGCAAGGCTTTGTTTCTATGCATGAAAATGGCTGCATAAAACGGGATGCGCTCCTTTCTCCTCGAAGCCGGATGATTGAATGTGTGTGCGCGAGCAGCGCGGGGCTGGCTGGCCTGCCGTGTGGACACAGGCGGGCCGGGCCGGTGCCGTTCGCCTGTGTCATGCACGCTGATGAAACAAATCATGTGTGGCGGCGCGCGGCGCGTGGTTCGAGCCAAATCGTCATGCCGCCGCAGAGGCAGCGGGTTGCGGCCAGCGGCCGCGGACGCAGAGGAAAGAAGACCGGGGGCCGATTCGTGCGATTTGCGCCGAGTCGGCGAACAAACACTCACGCACACACGCACCGTGTATCAACAAGCCGAGGTGTACGGCCGCTAGCGGAGCTCCGCAACACGCATGAGTGCGAAAATTCAGCGCGAGTTGCGCGCCGTGCCCAGGTGGGGGGCTTTTCCCATCAGCGACCAATTAGGAAATTAGCTCGGCATTTGCCGTTTTTGGAGTGAAGAGGGTCGAGAGTCTGCAGTTGGCGACGGGGCGGCCGCGCAGCGCCATACCCCATTCCGAGCACCAGGGGACCAGGGACCAGGGACGTGCGGCCTCCCCACACGGCTCCCCCGGCCCTGGCGTCCCTCGCCAAATTACAGAGATTGGCACAAATGTCGTGTATATTGATGTCAATCATGCTGATGAGGCTCGCCTGGGCCGCAGGGCTCGCTGGATGGATGTCCAGCCGAGTGCCGCCCCGCCGCGCCGCGCCCCGCCCCACCCCACCCCACTCGCGTGGTGGAGGGCTGGCTGTCCGGGCCCTGCAGGCCCATGGCATGGCGCAGCTGAGCAGGCGTCAGCGTTATAGCGCTGTTTATCAAATGACTGTTTAGGAGACCTGCTGCTGGTGAGCGGCAGATGGAAACGAGGAAACCTTTTATAGAAACCGGGTCATTTTTTTTTCAATACAGATACAGGCACACTAGACTCCTTCGAACAATTTTGGTGCGTGGTCACGGACAACTTTGTGCATGTGTACTTTTTGTACGACTTTGTACACAATTTCACGCGAATTCGTGCAGTTTCAAAACTTGTACACGAAAAGATTCACATTCAACGGTTTCACCATTACTCAGTTTGGGTCGGCGGCCCTCACCACCCAAATCGGAAGCCGAGCTTTCAAGAATTTTGGCCCTCGCCTCCCACCTTGATCCATCTGGCCCTGCCGGCCTCGCTCTACCGGAAACTTGTTCTCCCCTCCCACACTCCCTTCCCCCTGCAGCCCCAGCCGCCGGACATCCCCGCCGCCCCTCCGTCCAGCTTGAGTTTTGCTGCCATCACTTTGTATGGAAATGCAGTCGACTTTTTCCCGGACTGCTGTCATTTAAACTCTGCTTGGCGCGGTTCGCCGGGGCCGGCAGGCCGGGCGGGGCAGGCCGGGGCCACCGCAATACTTGGCCGGCCTGCCGAAGCGGAGCAAGCGGATCCAGTGTCACCACTTGCTGACCGATTCCCGCGGCGAGGGGCGGGAGGGGGGAAAGGGGGGGCAACCCCGTTTTGTTCCCCGCTGCTGCCAGTGGATGGACATCGTCATACCCCCGAGGAAGAGAAGCAGGCCAAACTTTCCCTCCCCCCCTTTTTTTTAGAGAAATCCACCCTCAATAAAGGAAGGGGAAAAATCTCCCCGCTTCCAAATATACATATATGTATGCGCAAGTGTCTCAGAAGTTCTCTTGGCCCTCGAACAGCGGACCGAAAAAAAATGTTGGAAATCACGCAAGCACCTTTACACACACGTGGGGATGTCGCGGCGCCTTTGTAAGGGCGAGGGCTCTCTAAGTTGGCCGAAGGGTCGCATCTCGCCCTTAGTTCTGCCGCCCCGGTCGCCCTCCGCCCTGCGCCGAGCCCCGCGCGTTCGCCGACGCGACGCCCAAAACGCGTAAGTGGCTTTATCTCTCCCTTTTCGCCGAAACTTTCTCGCCCGACGCCGTGCCTTGCCGTGCCGTGCCGTGTCGTGCCACACCGCGCCTTCTCCCACCACGGCGCGAGTTTTACGTTTCTTCATTCCACGATCTAATTCTCATAGAAGGAGGAGAATCAGCAACACTAACAACAACAACAACAACAAGCGAGCAGCGGTTGATAGCTCGTTGTTTGCCCGGCTCAACACCTCAGCAGATTAGTCCAGCAGCCAGCAGCACTAGATCGGCCTTTCCTTTCCAGCAATAGTGTTTGCCTACGGCCTGCTTTCCATAACGCACCGGCGCGCCCCGTGGCTCCGGGTTCCAGGTCCCGAGCCCCACCACACTGCCAGCAGGAGTAAAGCCCCCGGAGCGCTCTGCAGTTTCCATGCTGCTGCGATATGGGCGCGGCCGGGCGCGGGAAGCCGAGAAAAAGGCCTGATTACAGCCGCGCTAACTCCGGGGGAAATGGTCCTGCTCCTGCTTGAGGTGGGCGAGGCCAAGGCCACGACGCCGAGGCCACGACGCCGAGGCCACGACGTCGAGGACACGACGCTGTCGTACTTGACGACGTCGCCAAGGACAGGCGCACCGCGACGAGCTGCGAGTTGTCACGGGCCTCGCAGGCGCGTTCCAGTCCCGGCGGGGCGCGGAATAACTAACTCGCACGAACGAGAGCGCCCCAGCACCACCACCACCTCGACACGCCGGCAAAAAAGGGGAGGAAAAAGTGCGAATAGCCAAGTGCATCGCATCGCAGCAGCCGGGCTGGCCGCGAGAACGTATGGCATTCCAAATTCCGGGGCCGGCCGGTCGGCACGCCCCTTTCGTGTGGGGCGGCACTACCCGCGACACTCGCAGGGGAGAGGGGGAAGGAACGCACCCCTCGCTCCCCGCGGCCAGGCCTGGCGGGCCGGGCCCGGGGCGCACTCCCCGTAAAAGTTGCGCACTTTTGCCGTGCTTTGGTTGGCGCGGTGGAAAAGGAGGGGGGGGGGGCTGTGTGTTAAGGGATACACTTGGCCGACCATTCTCCTTTTCACACGCACTGCCGAGGAGAGGGGGTACAGAAAACGCGCCGCGCTCGGGATTTGAACCCGCTCCTCACCGAGTAGCCGTGCGCTTTCCGCGGGGCGCGGCGTGACGTCATCGTCGCCGAGGTCCACTCCAGACGCTGTGGACACGCCACTTGCCGCACTTGGTGGGAGGGGACACAAGTAAGTAAAGTTTTTAATGAAGCGGAGAGGTAGGGGCCAAAGGGCCTGGGCGTGGCGGAGGGCGGTGGGCGCAGTGGGCGCATGGCAGAGTAGTAGGGCCGGCGCCGACCCCGACGGGGCTCTCCAGGCCCTCCACTCCTGAAGAACTGGAGAAGTTGGTGGATGCGTCTCGACTATTAGTGTAGCGGCGTGGCGGCCTGGCGTTCGCGGACGTCTGAAATACGGGCCGCGGGGGCGCCGTAGCGCGCAGCGGCACGGCGACGGCGCCACAGCTCGGCCGACACGGCCGCCAAAACGCGCGCCTGGAACGGCCTGGAACAGTCAGGCCGCTTGGAGGGAGAGAGAGAGAAGGTCCATCCCGCGGCGTAAGGAGGCGAGTCCGACCGCAGGCACCGCAGGCCAGCCACGTCCGTGCCCGAGCCGGCCGTGCCCTTACACCGATCCTTATTTCAAAACTTACGCCAACCCTCCGGCCACCGCCCTTGCGGACTGCCCGCGACTGCCCTTTGGACCGTCTGACCCGGCCGCGCAGCCGCGCCGGCCAGCCGCAGACCCTCGGCCCTCCGGCCCTTCGGCAACACACTCGTGCCTCTGTTTCTTAAGCAGGGAAAACAACAATATTTCACGTTTCTGGAGTCGTTCCGCCTATTGTAGTTTAGGAGCGGCGTCGCCGAAGGCCCGAAAAACCAATGATGTTCGATTCCCAAACACATCTTTTCATTTTTTGACTGTCTATTCCACTGCCCGGACGCAACCCGTTGCCTCACCCAGCCCACTCCAAAGACCATGGTTGCTGAGTGTGCAGGCCGGTTCGCCGGAGTGCCCTCTTTCGCTAAAGTTTTCCTGATTTAAAAATTTTCGTCCGATTCACGGGCAGCAGGTTAACTTTGGCCCGGTCGGCCTCAAAGCTGCGCCCCGGACTGTCGTGAGTGCCACGGCGTGCCGCGGGTCAACGCGGGGACAGACCGCCGACCACGTGACTCGAGTTCGCGACTCCGGAAGCCGCGAATCGGAAGCGGCTCTCGAAACGCTTCAAGCGGCGTGGCGTCGCGAGGCGGCCTGCAAAAGTGATGAGGCCGGGGCGACGGCGACGCCGCGACGCCGCGACCTTGCTCGGCCTTGGCCCGAGGAATAGGCTCAGCCGCGCCGCCCTTCGCGGTGGGATAAATATTAATCGGGCGGTTCGCATTACGGGGTGGGCGGGGTGCGGCGGGGCGGGGCGGGGTGGGGCGGTGCCGGGTGCGGCGGGGCGGGGCGGGGCGGGGCGGGGCGGGGCGCCTGGAAAACGGCAGACTTGTGTATTCCCAAGATTCCGCAGCGGAAAGGATAAGAAGGGGATGCGAGTGCATTGAAAACCGCCGCCGACATCTTACAGTGTACGTTCTCGGACGGGGAAGCGGGCGAGAACCTGCAGCATAGGCGTTATCG